ACTCTTTGGTATTTCTGCCTGTAACATGGATAAAAGCCATCTGACAATTAGTCGAAGCACCGAATGAACTTTAAGAAATCTTTCGGTTAAATTTCTCTCTGATAATATTGCACTCCTACAACTTTTCATAAAGTAAATGTCAATCAATGCAGATGTCAACAGATGCAAATAATGGTCAAGTTACGTGCCCGCTCTCCCGATCTGCCTCTCTTCGGGGAAGGCCGGGACCCAGCGGTGGGAGGAAGGAGCAGGCTGAGCAGAGCGAGCTGAACGGGGATCCCCTCCCGCCCTCCTCTCCGACTACCTCTTCTGGCCACAGGCCCTGCAGACCGGTGCTGAGTTGAGGTGACAGGTCTGCTTGGGTGGAGATGGGGAAGGGACTGTGAAGGGAAGAAGTGGAGGGAGTTCCCCAGCAGCAGGGGAAGGGAAGGGACCTTCCGGTGGCACCTGGCCAGGCAGCGGTCAGCAGGACATCTGTCAGGCTGCGACCCACTCCTCCTATCCCAAGGGGGTGTCAGACACAAGGGCATCTGCTGCTCTGCGTCTAGTACGCGCAACACCGGACAATCGCGACCCTTCACACCCCATTTCCCTAAAATGTCAATAAGGAATGCCAAAGCCTCATCTGTTTTCCCACCGTGAAACAGACACAAGGGCATCTGCTGCTCTGCGTCTAGTACACGCAACACCGGACAATTGCGATCCTTCACATCCCATTTCCCTAAAATGACAATAAGGAATGCCTCATCTGTTTTCCCACCGTGAAGTATGAGCTAACATATGAGAACATGTCACATGTCCCTTCATGACAACATGGCACGTAAAGACAAAATCCTGGAAGATTAGAGCCCCAGTGTACAAGTCTGGACACCGCCTGGAACGTGACTGGCGGTAAGTATTTCACAACCACCACATTAAACATCAATTTGCAAAAGAATCAATTTTTTTTTAAATCTCTACATTTCACTACTGGCTGTCACTTTAATTACAGCCTGACATTTACCTGATAGATCTGACACGGGAAGATGAGCTGGGTGCCACAAACCCTGAATCGGAAGCGATGAGTCTCCAGAGATTTCTGTTTAGAGTTTACGTTATAGGGAGGCTGGCCGTATGTTACAGGAACCCAGCAAACACCGCTATAACCAGTAGTGGAAAAAAACATTGGTGGTTTAGAAAATAACTTTCCTTTGAGTTAATACTAACCTTTCTTGTTCAATGCTAATTTATCATTTTTGCTTATTTTAGTCAGAGACTTATACGGAATTCCCCCCGAATTGAACCAAGTGCCTTAATTTTCTAAACCCATAGCCAAAACCAGATAACACTTATGAAATTATCAAGCACACCAAGGCTTTGCCTTCGATCTCCCTTCCCACCCCCCGATAAAACCTAGACACCCTGGTCTCCCCATAACGAACCCTTCCCTCCCCGACCAGCAAATGAGAACATTCGATTCTCTCCGGTCCCCATTTTTCATTTGCTTTAAAATCCGGATTTTAACGTGCCTCTTGCCTCCCATCACCATCAAAGGTGCCCGACTCCCTGGCCAAGCTGCCACATGGCAGAGTTGACTCTGTTACAAGCTGGGATCACAAGGGCCACAGGTGCGTGATTTTACCTGTGGGCCAGGTGACTTGCATTTATTTCTTAACAGAGCTTCATCGCAGGGTGAAACACCCAGCCTGATATGAAAGGTGTAAAAGTAAATTTGAAGTTAGTTTTTAAGACGTCATGGGTGACCAAAGAGCATCCTGTGTCCTCAGTTTGTCCAACAGCAGTCCCACGGTCTGCTCATTCCTGACTCTGTCCTCCCAGTAACCACCGAAGTTCGCATTTCTTTCAAAAATACTTGAGCAAATGACATTTTTGATAGTGCACGGATTATAAAAGCATTTGAATAAAAAAGGGAGCACGTGTGTTCTGAAGGGTATCACCACCTGATACCAACATCCTGCCAATTCACCTAAATCCTCTGTGACAAAGAAAGTGCCAGACGCACCCAACAGGCCAGCTTCTCCGTGCTGTTGGTCACCTGAGCGGTGTGAGCGCCGCTGATCGTGGAAGAGTCTACGGGCGACGCGTGCTCGGGGCCACCGGTCTGTGTCCCCCCGAAACCCTCGGCGGCATTCAGGGAGAGGATCGTCTTACTTTCCTCATGTCACGACTCCACTCCGATGGCCCTGGTCCCTCTCCGAGCCTACACCTCCGGATTCAAATCTTAGATTAAAACGTGTGCAAAACCAAATGAAAATCCGCCACCAAAACATAACCCACCCCTCCCCCGAACCACCCGCCCACTGTGGTGGGGGCAGAACCAAAGTCCACTTTTCGCTGTCTTCATCCTAAACCTTAAAGAAGAGCAGATGGACGCCGCTGCCTGGCCTGGGCGGGTTGGACGCCCGGGGGGCCTGGTGGAGGGGCCGTGGGGCGCTAGGAGTTCCTGGGGCGGTCGCCGCGGCCCCTCTTGGGCCACTCCTCGTCCACCCACCGGCGCAGGACCTTCTCCACGTCGGCCCGGCGGTACAGCCGGCACAGCTCCATCAGCTGGCCCACCGTCCGCTGGCCGTTGCGCAGCAGGAACTCGAGGGTGGGGCTCTGCGGCCTCTGCTCCAGGAAGCACAGCTCGTCGTAGGGCATGCCCCACTTGCTGGCAAAGTTCCTCCAGTTTTTCACCGTCGGGTGACACGGATCCAGCTTTATCCTGATCACGTCGAGTAAGTCCTGGTCGTTGAGCAAGTCGCTGATGGTGGGGGCCCGGAGCGAGCAGGAGGGGCAGCTACAGTCGGCCTGGCAGGACTGGTCCTTGCCTGCACCTGAGGAGCAAAGAGCAGAGCCCACACGTCAGCGACTCTTCCCTTCACCTGCCACCCGAACAGTCGACAGTGGCACGGGGCACCTCACAGAGGGGCTTCAGGTGCTCGCTCCCACACCGCCAGCAGCGGGAGGGTCTGACGAAGCCGGCTCCCCTCCTCCGAGGCTCCCCGTGTCCGTCCCGCAATGTGAGCCGCGGGCCCCGGTGCGGCTCGGGGGGCAGAGCTCTCTGCCCGCACGTGGCCAGTGCAGGGAGCGGACCGCCGCCCCGAGCAGACCAGCCCACTCACCACCAGCACCTCAAACCCTTAACCCGCCCCCGCCAAGTCCCACGCCAGCCGACAGCTCCCTGATGCCAAACACAGCACGTTAGGGCGCAAAGGACCACACAACTCTTTTAAGGGTCTTTAAACACACACACACTCTGGAATCTGGAATGTCCACGCGCACGTATTTGAAAAGGAGTGATAACTGATAACGCCAGAAAACTTACTTTTCAAATGTATGGCCACCTTATCATTCCTTTGCCTCTGTCTGTGTTTTTTCACCCACGGGGCTGCGTCTGCAGTGGGGCCGGCACCCCGAGGT